CTAAGTTTTCTCCTTTCAAATGGGTCTCTTAGAAGCTCATCTAGTGGCTTCCGGTTTTTGCCGAGTCCACGCGGCTTTGTTCCCACAGTTCCAAAAATAATAGTTTCGACAAAAGTTATGATTCAATCCCTATTGTCCACGCCACACCTCAGACCCTCCAGGTTTTAGTGGGCTCAAGAGAATTCAGCCGATTCTCCCCTAACCTTTTTCCTTTTAGGTGAGTCTCAATGCAGCTCAGCTCAGCTAGTGGATTCCAGCTTTTGCTGGGTCCGCGATGCGACCACGGCAGGACTGCTGCAGGAGCGGCAGGCAGGGGTCCGGTTTTTAAAGCTTTTAAAATAATGTATTAGCAAAAGTTCTGATTCAAAATCCTACTGTTTGCCTCACACTGTGATGGACAGTCTCTGTGGAGCGTAAAGTACTCTCTGGTATCCTCTCTATGCAGGTTGCTATCCCTCTGGCTCTTCACACTGTGCTCTCCACCTCTGCCATCTTCCCTCCTCGGTACTGAATGTTTTGTGCATGCATTATTCATTGCTCTCATGTTGGAGCTGCCTAATAGCTGATCCTCCAATGGGTTTTTGGAGGATGTAAATCACAGCAAACAAGAATGCCCATCTTTGCCTCATGAAGCTGCTTGTAGATTTGAACAAGTGGCCTTGAGCTTAGCAGTGCAACTCCGTATCTACTATGTCACCAGAGCTCTTGCTGGTATAACATGTATGACAAATAAATATTAGATATTGTAGATTATGATAAAGTATGTAAGTCTGTCTTCAGGCAATACTTGATTATTATTGTTATTAGGTGCCATCGAGTTGACTACAACTCATAGTCACCCTATGAACAATAGATCTGAACCTTGCCCTATTCTGTGCCATCCTCATCTCGATTTACTTGAACCCATTATTACAGGTACTGTTTTGATAAATCTTGTTGAGGAGCTTCTCCTTTGCTGACCTTCAACCTCTCAAAGCATGATGTCCTTTTCCCAAGCATTGGCCCCTGTTAACAACATGCTCAGAGTTCGTAAGGCTAAGTTTCACCATCCTTGCCTCTAAAGAACACTCTGGTTGTACTTTCACCAAGACATATTTGTTTGTTCTTTTGGAAGGTAAGTGCATAGGATATTCAGCACTCTTTTCCATCACGACAACTCTAAGGTTATCAATTCTTCTGCTATCCTTAGTCACTGTCCAACTTTCAGATGCACAGCAAGTAATTTAAAAGACTGTTTTGAATCAGATACACCTTAGTCTTTAAACTAACATTGTGCTTTCTGGTACTTTAGGGAGGTCCTTGACAAAAGAATTTCCCAAGGCAAAAGGTTTTTGATTTCTTGACTGCTGTTTCCATGGGTGTTGATTGTAGATCCAAGAAAGATGAAATTGTTGACAACTTCACACTCTTTTCCTTCTACTGTGATGTTTTCTACTGGCCCAGTGGTGAGAATTTTTGTCTCCTTGATGTTGACATGTAATCTATATTGAGGCTGTAGTCTTATCCTTCTATAGCAAGTATTTTAAGTCCTCTTTGCTTTCAACAAACAAAACTGTGTCATTTGCATTAGCACAAGTTGTTGATGAGTCTTCCCCTGATCCTGATGCCACATTCTTCTCCATAAAGTCCAACTTCTTGAATTATTTGCTTATCATACAGGTTGTATATGTATGGAGAAAGAGCATACACCTTTTTGAAACATATCACCTTTTTGAAACATTACAGTGTTAAACTGTCCCACTGGCCTGTCTCAGTTGGAGCCTAGAAGGAGCTGGAGAGTCTGGCTGGTGACCCTCCGCCAACCTCCACCCACCTGAGCCTGAGCAGAAACCAGGGAGGTCTACCCCGTGCCATGATATTTATATGCCTGCTAATTTTTATGGCTTGCTCCTAGAGGTTCACATTTACCTGTTAGTTTGTTCTACTCAGGGAGTAATTTGCATGTTGCTGCTTATTTTATAGCTTAGGCACATATATGCTTGCTTGTTTATAATTCACTCCTATGACTATAGCTCTTGTCTGTCAGTTTGTTGTACTGGGGTGACATACAGGTTACTGTGATGCCAGTATTTCAAACACCAGCAGGGTCACCCATGGTGAATAGCCTTCTGTGGAGATTCCAGATTAAGACAAACTGGGAACAGGATTGGCCATCCACTTTTGAAATAAAAGGCATTCAGAAACCCTATGAACAGTAGGGGAACACTGTTAGAACACTATCTGATTGGGTATATAAAAAGGGGGAGTCAATTTGCCCTAGAGAAATGTAAACCTGATGAAAGCAGCAGACTTTTTTTTATTTTGGAATTCAGATGCACTCTTATTGATTGTGCTTGGCTGTACATGTACATATCCTTCAAGATGTATCATGGGGGTGTTGCAACCTAGAAGACACAAATTTGACTAACAAGTTATAAGTACATGAGTCCAAAAATTATGGAAAAGTAAAAGAAAAGATTCTTTCATTGTTTTACAAACCCTCCCCCAGGTCCCCTCCACCGTGCAGCCCTCGCTCTAGTCTCCTGTGATGACAGAAATACCCAGTTACATCTCTCTTTTAAACGGTTCTCTCCCTCCTCTGTTTCAGTGCAGTATACATTATTGAACCCATCTTACTCAGTCTCTCCCCAACCCCAAGGACAGTCCCATTCTACAACAGTGGCATCATGTAATATTTGTCCTTTTGTGACTGGGATATTTCACTCAGCATAATGTTCTCCAGAGTCAACCATTTTGAATAATATTGCATGAGTTCCTTGTTTTTTAATAGCAGCAGACTTTTGTAGAAGGCACAGAAAGGCCTTGTAGAAGGCTTCTGAGTTAGGAAACAAGTATTTGAATGGACATGTAAGCCTCATCTAGAAGAGATTAACATTTGAAGGCAATATCAGTAGAAAAAAAAGATATGTTCTTTGAATTTAGAGCAAATGCTTTGTCTTTGGGTGTACAGAGGCAGGAAAAGTCAGCCCATCAAGAACATTCTTCTAGGACTGGAAGTTAAAGGGAGCCAGAGAGTAGATGGCCTGGTGTGCTTGCATGTCAGTGATCACCTGGGATTACTTAATGAGTGGATGCAGGGGAATGCACCATTGATGAGAAGGCCTGAGTTTGGTATGTTCCTGTGGTATCCACTGACTTAGCACACACAGAAAAATGCTAAAGATGAGAGAGGAAGTGTTTCTGGTCTGATATGCAGTGAGTTATGAGGACTCCTGACCTATTGACTTAGCTCATGTGAAAGGCTAAGCCTAGGCAAGAAGGGGCCAGCTGTTTTGATATGTGGGAAAATGTGTGGACCCTTAAGTTTAAGGCTGGTGCCCAGTGGGCCTAGCTTTAGATAGTGAGGAATGATGGATCATAACTCAACTAAAAAGAAGCTGTGAGCTAGCATATATTGCTCCAATCTGATGGCTTTTTGTGGATTGGTCTTTGCTTTAAGATGCAGATATATGTAAAGTTCCAACCAAAAAAGGAGATTCTCCAGAGAAAGGAACATGCTGGTCTCCTCAGAATACTGGTCTGATAAGGAGGGGAAAGTTAGAAATTGGCTATCTACATAGGAGACAAAGGTATGATGTAGTGGTTGCACACTTTAATATGAGGACATTATGTTATTAGTAAGATGATTTTAAGAGGAAGTGATCCTCTACTTATGAAGGCCAATGGCTAGAAGAGCCAGGAGGTGGCCTTTGGTACAGATGATTGGTCAATATGGCTTTCTTAGCTATTGGCTTTTACTTTCACCACTTGACTACACAGGAATATAAAAATAAATGCATGGTGTCTGTGGCCTCATCCGTGGGATTCAATACCTTACTAATAAAGTAAGTAAGTAGCACTTTTGGGTTAGGAAAATCCATAGACTGGTATGAGATAGGGCTAAACTGGAGCTGCCCCCATGAAGCCAGGGCTGAGAGTCTCTGATTAGGCTCACTGGCAGAGTGAGTGGTGTACTATGATTGATAGACCTAGGTGAGCTTTGTAACACTGGCCCACAGCCTTGAGGGAGAGTCTAGGGAATCTGTAAGTTAGAGGGATGCTTGTCCACACGTCCTGACTGAAGAATTGTATCCTTCTGAAGAATGTTTCTGACCAGAATTGTGATTTGTTATTTCTCTAACAAATATCATTATGATGGGGGCGGGGGGAGAGAATCAATGAATGGATGATTTAAACAGAAATAAAACAGCATTATATGTGCACCAAGTAAGACAGGATGTCATGCACCAGGATTATAATTAGTTTAAAAAAAATGGTCACTGAAAGCCGGTGCCAATAAAAGAGATAACCATTAAAAAGGCAGATAATTAATTATAGCTCTAGGAACAGAAATAAAACAAGACAGGTGGAATTATATCAGTATGCCGTTTGCAAATGTAAGAGACTGCTGATGTACTATTCTGAATCAAAGGTAAGAGTGATAAGAACCTGTTTTTTAGCACGTACTGCCCTGCCTTATTCTAGGAGCATGTGTCAGGTTTCATACCATGAGGTACAGAGAGTTCTGTTAAAGTGATGTACTGAATAAAAAGCAGCCACACATCTATTCTAAATCTAGAGGACCCAAGGCCACCACAAAGATTCCATGGAAATGCTTACAAGATTTGTGGTGAAACTGCTGTTGTTGTTATGTGCAGTCGAGTCGCTTGAGCAGTATTTATTTTATCCATGTCCTCCATGCAGGTAAGGCCATAGGACAGAAGGGAGAAGCTTGTTGGAGGTCATTTTCTAACTGAGAATTCAAAGCATGTCCCAGAGAGGAAAAAAGAAGGCAACTGTAGTTATGCTCGGAGGTAACTCTGAGAGTCAGCTCATGCCTTTCCATAGAGCTTTCTGCCAGGCTGCCTACCATTGATAATGCTGTAGGGTACAGCCTAGTCACCTTCCTAAGGGAAGGGAAAAAATGGAAAAAGAAATCATAAATGTTTATCACAGCTTTAAAAAGCAGAAGCACCTGCTAAATCACAGAGGTCTCTGTGGCCACAGGTGTTTGGATTTAATGGAGCTGGGCACTGGACCTGCTTTTACAGGCTCTACCACATAAAGCACCATGGAAATTTTAAGTCTGTGGCTGCTGACCATGGAGGCGTGAAAGGCTTAAAGCTCTAGGCTTCTAACCAGAAAGGTGGGGGCTGGAGTCGACTAGGAGGTGGCTCTGAAAAGTGACCTAGTGATCTGCTTTAAAAATTAGTCACTGAAAACCCTATGAATCACAGTTCCACTCAAACACAAATGAGGTCATAATAAGTTGGAATGCACTGGTGGCAGATGTTTGTCTGGTTTGGCTGTATTTATCAGAAAGAAAGGCCATTTAAACAGCTCAAAGGTGAAAGCTCACCGCTTAGAAAAAGTTTTGATTTTTGATGGTCATCCGTGTGATGGTTAATTTTATGTGTCAACATGGCTAAGTATGGTGCCCAGGTTGGTCAAACACTACTCTGGACTCCGTAATGAAACAGTTGTTCACTACTATCTTGTCAGTCTTGGACAGATGGCAACTTCACACACAATGGAATGAGATGCTGCCTGGTCCTCTGCCCTCCTCATAATTAGTTTAAAAAAGGTTGCTGGGAGTTGCAGGGTTTGCACTGGCTGATTAGTAGATCACCAAGTTGCATTTCCCAGTTTATGAGTCTGGAAGCTCTGCTGAAGCATGATAGCAATGGGGGGGATTTAGCTGAACTTGAGTTGTACCGGTAAGCAAAGGAACCCAAATATCCTGTATGGAATGCAAGAATTCCAACACAGACACACCTTTCGGAAATAAGTGGGCCTAAGTACAGCATTCTGATGGTATGCATAGGAATCAGATCGATTACATCTGTGGAAAAAACCACAGGAGAAGCTCAATATCAGCTAAGAAAACTAGGCCAGGAGCTGATTGTGGAACAGACCACCAACTACAAATATGCAAGTTCAAGCTGAAGCTTAGGAAAATTAAACTGAATCCACAGGAGCCAAAATATGACTTTAATGTCATATCACCTGAATTTCAGAATCATCTCAGGAACAAGTTTGAAGCCTTGAACACTAATGAGTGAAGAACAGATGAGTTGTGGGAGGATGTTAAATGTATCATCGAGGAAGAGTGCAGGCGGTCATTACAAAGACAGAGAGGAAGAAAAGACCAAAATGGATGTCAGAAGAAACTCTGAAGATTGCACTGAAACGTAGAGAAGCCAAAGCACAAGGAAGAATCCAAGACACTAAAGAGCTGAACAGAAGATTCCAAAAGGCAGCACGGAATGAAAAAGCAAAATACTACAATGAAATGTGCAAGGAGCAAGAGTTGAAAAATCAAAAGGGCCGAACTCGTTCAGCATTTCCTAAGCTAAAGGAACTCAAGAACAAATTCAAACCTCGAGTTGCTACAATCAAGGATGCTTTAGGCAGAATGTTAAAATGGTCCAGGAGGTATCAAAAGAAGATGGAAGGAATATACTGAGTCATTGTATTGAAAGGAATTGGCAGATACAGAAGAATTTAATGAAATAGCATTTGAGCCAGAGCCTATGCTGATGGAGGCAGAAGTTCAAGCTGCTTTGTAGGAAATAGCAAACAATAAGGCCCCGGGAATAGATGGTATACCAATTGACATATTTCAGCTAACAGATGCTGCCATGAATGTGCTCACCAAGTTGTGCCAAGAAATCTGGAGAACAACCACTTGGCCAACTGACTGGAAGAGGTCTTTATTTGTTCCCATCCCAAAGAAGGGCGACCCGAATGAGTGTGGAAAATACAGAACAGTATCATTGATTTCACATGCAAGCAAGATTCTACTGATTATCCAAAACGACTGGAACAGGACATCAGCAGAGAACTGCCATAAGTCCAGGCTGGGTTTAGAAGGGGTCGTGGTACTAGGGATATTGTTGCTGATGTTAGATGGATCTT